TGACTATCAGTTGAAAATGAATGGAAAAGTAAAGACTTTTCACATTAATCTACTCAAGAAATATGTTGAAAGAGCACAATGTAACAATGTTCTTTTTGTGACTGATGGAAGTGTATTTGGTTCAGTAAATGCTACATTTGTGGACTGTGTGGAAGACACAACACAGGAAGGACAGTTAGATGACTATCCGGCACTAGATTCTGACCAAGGCACAGACGTGGATATCAATGGTTTGCTATCGACCGAGGAAAGGGAAAAGTTGATGAGTACTATAGCCAAGTATGGTGACGTTCTACAAGACCAACCAGGAAGTACGAATATTTTAGAACATGACATCCGCATGGTAAGTGATAAGCCAATACATGTCAAAACACGTTCAGTCCCCTTTTCTTTGGAAGAAACAGTAAACAAAGAGGTGAGTGATATGTTGAAATTAAATATGATTGAACCATCCGAGTCTCCCTTTTGTTCACCAATAGTTATTGTTCCAAAAAAGGATGGTACCAATCGATTTTGTATTGACTTTCGACTACTAAACAGACAAACAATTTTTGACGCGGAGCCAATACCAGACGCAGACGAAATGTTTGCAAAATTTGCAGGATACAAATATTTCTCAAAAATTGACTTATCAAAGGGTTATTGGCAAATAAAACTGACAGAGGCATCTAAACCAAAGACAGCCTTTAGAACAAGTAAAGGGTTATTTCAATTTTGCGTTATGCCCTTTGGTTTAGTTACAGCACCAGCTACTTTTTCCCGATTGATGCGGAAAGTTTTGAGTGACATGGAAAATGTTGACAATTTTATTGACGACATAATTATTTTCACAGACATTTGAACATATCTCAAAGTACTTGACGAATTTTTTCAGCGTCTACGTAGTGCAGGTCTAACTGCTAAACCAAGTAAGTGCTCATTGGCCTATTCTAGTTTGAATTGTCTAGGTCATGTGATTGGCAATGAACAATTGAGACCAATGTTGGACAAGGTCAAGGTTATACAAGATGCACCAAGACCAGAAACTAAAAAACAACTACGATCGTTCCTTGGGTTAATAGGATTCTATCGTAAGTTTGTTCCAAACTTTGCATGCATTGCATTGCCATTAACTGATTTGACTAGGAAAGGGTGCCCAACCAAACTTGTGTGGGAAAAATGTCATGAAATTGCATTTCAGTCTTTGAAGTCGTCACTAACTAATTCTCCTATTCTGAAATTACCAAACATAAAGGAGCCTTTTATACTTCAGACTGATGCATCTGATAGAGGTTTGGGAGCTGTCTTGCTTCAGAGAGTAGAAGATCAAAAGTTACCAGTAGCATACGCGAGTAGGAAGTTGAAAGAGTGTGAAAGTGCGTACGCAACAGTAGAGAAAGAATGTTTGGCTATTGTTTGGGCCATTCAGAAATTTCAAAAGTATTTATACGGTCAAGAGTTTGTTCTAGAGACTGATCATAGTCCTCTTGTGTATCTAAACCAGTCAAAGGTCACCAATCCTAGATTGATGCGCTGGGCACTCAGTCTCCAGCCATATCGATTCAGAATCCAAGCCATTAAGGGAAAAGAGAATGTAGGGGCAGATTACCTGAGTCGTTTGTAAATTTATGTAAATAGTTTGTCATTTGTAAAGTTTCAGGTTTGTTTTCTCATTTTAAGATTTTAATGTGTTTTAAAGTACTGCGTACTTTTGGAAAATGGGAGGTAGTTGTCACATTAAAATCTACATGTTCCTATTCGAACACGCAAGCAATTTATATTTACCTGTGGGGAGCCTCCATTTTTCACCGGGTTTATGTTACCCTGTTTTATACCTCAAATCACCGGACCTTTAAAATATTTGTAAGCCCGTGCTTCAGTTTGGACACGGCAGTCCTGGGAGAAGGACGTTTTCAAAACTTCTCAAGATCTGTTTGATTTATCTTATACACATGGCAGACCACTGAGGGTTTTACTTGTTTAGAATTTAGTTGTATGGTCCTGCTTCTCTGAGGTAAGCCTTATTTGTGTTTTTTTTTAAATATTTTATAAAGTTGTAAACATCTCAAAACACCCAGATACGGAATTTCTAAAATATGCAACTTTAAGCTATTCTATTTGATATTTTTAAGTTCTGTTATTTATAGTTACTCGAAAATGTTTGAGTCTCAATTGTACGGTGGATTGTTTGTGTCTTTATTTGTGGGTTCTACGTTCTGTAATAACTATTGTATAGTAAAGCATTTATTGCGTTGTACATATTGTACTCACGGAGTAAGTTGTATGTCTATATTATTCTGTGTATGATATTTAACAGGTCTCATTCCTGTATAGTAGTGTAGAGATGGCGGCCGGTACCAGTCACATCTCATAGTCTTGAACGCAAGACGGACGTGTAACCTCCTCGGCACTGGAGAGGGGGAAGTGTAAACCTTTCTCGGCACCGGAGAGGGGTGTCTGAGCCTCATTAGCGGCAAGAGACTGTAGTGTAGCCTAAACACCGTGTGGAACAAAACCATAGACGTAGTAGACATTCTAGGGACACGGACGACCATACACCAAACCAGTTTATTTTGTTGTATAATATTATTTTGTTAATTAAAATGTAAAGTTAAAATGTAGAAAAGATTTTCTGTTATTTATTTAGGGGAGTTTGGATCACTATTCTCTACGCAAGGTCATTATTTGACAATAAGCATGACAGAAATGTTATTAGATGTTTGAAATGATGTAAAGAGAAAAGAACAAAAAATTAACAAAGGTGACATTAACATTTTTTAATTCTATTAAAAACTGATCATATCACATTGCTTATCCGTCGATATATATATATATATATATATATATATATATATATATATATATATATATATATACATATATATATATATATATATATATTAGATGAAATCCCGCGCAAGCGCGGGGAATTGAATTTATACCACTATCGACAGAAAAAAATCCAATAATATATATATTGTAGTTTCTACTGACAGCCAACAGGCTTATAGCAGGAAGAAATACTTTGTTCAAAATCCCGCATGAAGTAGAAGTACGTCTCCACCCCCCATCCCCCCTTGTAAAACTTAAATAACAATTTCGTTAATTGACGTTTATTGTGAAACCTGTTATATACTATGTTATGGATATTGTATATACTGTGTTATGGATATTGTACTTCAGATACTCTTATTTCATTTCCATCAAGAAATGCACATTTTACTGAGAAATTGATTTTTTTTTTGGTAAACATTCACAGGTACTTGGGTCTTGGTTTATAAATATGTATGTACCTTATTGATATGTAAAAACTGTACCTTACCTCTTTTTTTACATATCAATAAGGTACATACATATTTATAATCCAAGATCCAAGTACATGTGTAAAAATTAGCTTTTATATAACGCCCTATGAATGCACTGGCGGATTTAGAGGGGGCCCAGCCCTCCCCTCTCATTTTGTGTCCAAAATATACATAAAATTTAATAAATCTGTGTCTGTGGGCCCCTACCCCAACCCCAAACTGGTCGTCCCCCCCCCCCTTTTCAAAATTCCTAGATCCGCCACTGGAATAGGCCGAGTATTTGATACAAAAGACTTTTCAGAAAAAAAAACTGAAATGTATTGATTAAAGTACAAAACTTTACAGCATAATTGTATTTGAACAATGCCTTGTTCATTAATTTTTTCTTTTCATGTAAGCAGGTTTATTACGAATTAAGTCCAAATTGTACTTCGGGTTCGTTGCCACGATGCTCTCAGTGAGGAATATATACAAATTTTTACCGATAAATTTATTAGGAAAACCTACTAATTATATGTAATAGTCTTTCGATATATAAATATATTCACAACTTACAGTGTTATCAATGATTTACCATTATTTCAATGACCATTCACAAAAAAGTTTTTTTTATGTTAAAGCAGCTATTTTCTTTTTAACATCGGGCTCGATGCTACATGATGTTCTAGAAGCTTCCGTCAATATTACGATCGGTGAATGACAAAAATAATTTGCACATTTTCCTTTTTAATCGGTTATCACAACTTATTTCTTTTATATCATTTAAATCAAGTTTTGATTGAATAATTCAATAATGACGTTTAATGAAATAAATAAACGATTGCTTGTTGCCAGTTTCATTAAAAATTGCCAGTAACTAAGATCCGCCAACCGGAAACGCCACCGTACTCATGTTTTTGCTATTTCATGGCTGTTTATAGAAAATAAAAGTAGACTTTTAATTTAATGTACGATACTTACGATGCAAGTGAAATCTAAATATAGTTTACGGACATCATTTTGTATTATGTGTATTCTTAGAGGAGTAAGTAAGAACTCTGGTGCACCCGTTTCGGAGTTTATTTGCAAAATTTATTAATTTATAAGTATAGATAGATAGATATATATATATATATATATATATGTGTGTGTGTGTGTGTGTGTGTGTGTGTTTTAGCAAACTGAACTTCTTTTTAATCTGTTAGAGTTATATTTCTTTTTCTACTGGTGCGCAATATAAGAAATTGCTGCATTAGATTAGAGCTAAATAAAAAAAAAAATTCCACCTCCCATCCAATTCGCTTATTTTAGTATATGTACGTTAGATTAGAAAGATTTTTTTCTGGTTTTGAAGCAAATGGAAAGTTTGTAATTGCTTACGAGGTCTTTCCATTAATATTTACTTTTACGCAGGGATCCTGTGTAAATTTCCCTGCCTTTTTAGCGGGCCGTACATGTCTATAATTGTAGCTATTTATAAAATAACGTTTATTATGGTCGTTTATGGCTTGATTATCATTACTTGTATCCACCACTATACATTTTCTATCATTTACAAAAATAATTGTCTCTTTTCTACATCAACAGATTTTGTTAATCATATCCATCAACAGAAGACATTTTTGTCAAAAATATAATTAATATTCAAAATGAAATTGTTTTGAACATTGCATTTATTGCTTAATAAAATACAATGCAAGTTCATGCAATTTAGAAACTCCTTTCCCAGTAATCAGATTTATCCCTAAAAGATAAATACAGTTATTGAGAATGACGCTTATTGCTTTCTATTTTGAAATTACGTATTGCTTACAAAGAGCAACCCGTTTTCCGGAATTATATGGTCCTATCATGACGATTCTATGGTTAATAATACATCAGCATTAATGAGCATGCGCTAGGTCTTTTCAACTCCCCATCTTGTTCAGAGCAGACGAAATCATCGGTGTTCAAAAATAAATCAAGTATCATCGGTTAAGTATTGTATCAATCGAAGAAATTTAAGTATGAAAATCGCATAAGACGAACATATTAATTCATATTTAAGGAATTTGTTTAAAAATTATTGACTTATTTGTTAGAAAATAGTAATGTAAAACAACAGAATTTTATTTTCATTGCTTGATTAAATAGAACACATGTCGGAATATTAATAATTGGGAGTAAGAAAATCTTTGACGGTTTTATTCATTATTTGCAAGAAAATGAGCACTGGATTGTTGAGAGTGGGATCTACAAGGAGATCCAAGACAAAATCGCCTTATGCCAGACGCCCTGCACGTGCTTCCGGCCCCTCGGCGCGCCCGGTGCAACCAACACAAGAGTCCTCACAAATACAGCATGCGGGAAGTGGTAGCCAAGTGATTTATGCTCCTACCTGTGGCCTACAAGACACATCCGAGGTCAGTCCCGTGAATGCCACACTGCCAGTGAACATCACAGGTGACCAGCCTCAGCTGCAACAGACCTTTAGTGTTGCCGCATCTCAAAATATTCCAGATGTGCAGCCTCTGCTTCAAGACACCTCTATGACTACAGCAACAAAAAATGTTGTGTATCAGCCAGGTATGCATGTTAATCCCCTAGTCAGTATTACATCAGATCTTGGGGCTAATATACCATTGACAACACAGGAAAAAATTTGGAATAATGAGTATATAGATCTTGCTAGGTTATTGCATTTAGATCCAGCTGCTGAAATTCAGCAACTGCTTGTGTTTGAAGATGGAGAAATTAAAATAAAAAATAAATCTAAGGATAGAAAAATTGCAAACATTTCGGAATGGACTGATTCCTTTTTGATTTATGCTGCCATCTACTTAAAAAAGTTTCCACAGCACATTCAGGGCATAATAAAGTATATCAGTTCAATAAGGCTAGGGGCTTCTCGGTCTACTACACTAGGGTGGAGGGATTATGACATTCAGTTTAGACTTAGGCGCTCAAAAAATAGTATGATCAGTTGGGAAAACATTGATGCAGAATTATGGTTGATTTACATGGGTCAGGCAGCAGTCGCTGAACGCAAGCCTACTTCTAATTTGCACCAGCACAAGCGTTGTTATGATTTCAACTTGAAGGGTTCATGTCTTAAAAAAGATTGTAGATTTTCACACTCTTGTCTTAAGTGCGGCAAAAACCATCCCTCCATCAACTGTTACAGTAATCAAACCAGCCATAGTACATCAAAAGGGGCTACTCACAATGTCGGTCGTCAAAACATCAATCCAAATGTGACCCAATCAAGATTTTCAAGGCCATTTCGGCAATAAAGATCCATGCCTTTGGGATCTAGGTTTTACACCGATCAATGTAACCACTTTAAACATTTTGTTACAAGATTATCCAGAAAAAACTGAGGCAAATCAACTTTTACATGGGTTTACATTTGGTTTCTCATTGAACTATGAGGGTCCGCGGGATCCAGTATCTTGTAAAAATATGGTTTCAGCATTAGAGCATAAAGATGAATTGTTAGCTAAACTGAACAAAGAAATTGACCTAGGTCGCATAATGGGTCCATTTGATGCCCCCCCATTTCAAAATTTTCATTGCAGCCCAATAGGAGTTTTACCTAAAAAACAGGGTGGTTGGAGGTTAATCACCAATTTATCTGCTCCACATGGAAAGAGTATTAACGAATTCATTAATCCTGAAATTTGTTCAGTTAATTATTCATCTTTTGATCAAGCTGTTAGCATGGTACAAAAACTGGGGACAAATGCACAATTAGGGAAAATGGATATTTCAAATGCATTTAGGTTGTTACCAATTAGACCCGAAGATTTTAGTCTGCTTGGTTTTAAGTTTCTTGATAAATATTATGTAGACAAATGTTTACCTATGGGTTGTGCCATATCGTGTGCTTTGTTTGAAAAATTTTCCAGTTTTTTACAATGGGTGGTAGAGTATAACACCAACTTGAAAAATATTGTTCATTACTTAGATGATTTTTTATTTGCTGGAGCTCATGGAACAAACAATTGTAAATATATGATGGATTCTTTTCAAAATATCTGTAAAAGATTAGGTGTTCCTCTTTCAGAGGAAAAAACTGAAGGTCCAACAACATATATAGTGTTCTTAGGTTTAGGTATAGACTCAGTTAATCAGTCAATTTTCATTCCAAAGGATAAAGTAGAATCTTTACAAAAAGAAATACTTGAAATTCAAGGGAAATCTAAGATTACATTAAGGCAGCTTCAGTCTTTAGCTGGCTCATTAGCTTTTATTACAAAGGCCTTGCCAGCAGGTAGAGCATTTACATGCCGCTTATATGGTTTAATGTCTGGTGTTTCTAAGCCACATCACTTTGTACGACTTTCCAAAGAAATACATAGTGACCTCCAAATGTGGTTAACATTTCTTGATGAATTTAATGGAACAACAAAATTTCCAGAATTGGAATGGGAATCTGACAAAAATGTACAATTTTATTCAGATAGCTCAGGTTCAGTGGGTTGTGGTGTGGTTTTTGGTACTTCCTGGTCTTATCTCTGTTGGCCACAGGAGTGGAATGTTGATATAAGAAAAGACATCACTTTTTTAGAGTTTGTTCCTATAGTTTTAGGATTTTACTTGTGGTCAGACAAATTACAAAATAAGAAATTAATTTTGCATGTTGACAATATAGCTTTGGTTGAAATCTTGAATCGGAAAACATCTAAGAATACAAGGGTAATGATTTTGATGAGAGAATTAGTATTGCTTTCTTTGAAGTTTAATATTCAGTTTAAAGCAGTTCATGTAAGAGGTTGTATAAATGAGATAGCAGATTCAATTTCTCGATTGCAGTGGAACAGATTCAGGCAGTTAGCACCATGGGCAGATTGCCATCCTTATCAAGTACCTATTCAATTTTGGAACCTTTTGAAGGGCATGTCAATCATTTAATAGAAGCTAGCCTCTCCAACAACACAAAAATTGCATATGACAAAGCCATGGTTGTATTTAATGACTTCAGATTACAATTTAATTTGCCTCTATCTTGGCCACCTCCAGTAGATCATGTAATCAATTTTGTGGCTTTTCTAGCATCAAAAAATCTTTCTCATTCTACAGCTAATGTATATTTATCAGCCCTGAGTCACAGTTTGCAAGTGCACGGATTGGACAATCCAGTCAAATCTTTCATTGTGCAAAAAATGTTAACAGGTTTAAGAAGATCTAAGCCTACAAAGGACATCAGAAGTCCTGTAACATATCAGCTTTTACTAAAAATTTTGGATGTTTTACCTATGGTTACACATTCAAAATATGAGCACTTCTTATTTGGGTCTACATTTGCAACTGCATTTTTTGGTCTTCTTAGAATAAGTGAAATGGCAGTAGCATCAAATAAGAGTCGAAGAAATGTACTTCACCTTTCAGATTTACAGTTAAGTAATGAAAATATCAAATTAAAGTTGCGTTTTTCTAAAACAGATCAGAGTGGAAAAGGTTTAGTCATTACTATCAGCAAATCAGTAGAGTCAACAGTGTGTTTTAATTTGTTAGAAACTTTCTTGCAATTCAGATCTCTGGTGGATGGCCCTCTATTTTGTCATATCAATGGTACACCATTATCGGCATACCAGTTTTCAAGTGTATTACACAAAGCATTGAGATTTTTAGGTATTGAAACAAAAACTTTCATAACGCACTCTTTTAGAATAGGAGCTGCTACTCACATGTATTTGTCGGGCATATCTGAACAAGAAATTCAAAGAAAGGGAAGATGGGTGTCAGATGCATATAAGCATTATCTCAGACCTGAGTTGATTACATTTTAGATGCAAATAATGCTATTATGATGGTTACATCATTGTCATATTGTTGTTAACCTGATATCAAAATTATAATTGGAGTTGGATTCATTTGATTGCTGTTTTCAAGTGCATAATTATGTAGATTGTAATCATTGCTTATGTATTGTTCATAAATCTTGTAGATTCAATCTGGATTGTGGGATCATCCCTTATTAAAAGAGCAGAACAATTTTCTTTGAGTTCTCCGGAATTTGGCACAGACCTTTCTTTACCAGGGGTAAAAGTGTTATGGAAGGGAATACCAGGGTTGAGTTTTGCCAAATTCTCTGAGGTCATTTCTGACCTGTCCTCTACAAAGCCACATCCGAGGTTTCTTGTTATCCATGTAGGTGGTAATGACATTGCCAAACTTAATAACCCATTACGAGACAACAAAAATTTATGAAAACTGTTATCAACAAGTTGAGTTTGGTTATGCCTTTGACATGCATTGTCTGGTCACATATTTTGCCCAGGGTATATTGGCGTCATTCAATTTCAAATGTTGCTGCAGAGAAATCAAGATCTAGGATTAATAGTTCTATTGCTAGCTTTGTTTTAAAGTCAGGTGGTGCTTCAATTAAGTACCCTGACATCAGTATTGTTCAAAGTAAACTCTTTCTTAATGATGGAGTTCACTTATCTCCCTTAGGTAATTATGTCTTTTTGTCAACAATGCAGGCTGCTCTTAGGCAATTTTGCTCTGGTAATGGTTTTGTTTATCCATCAAAGGGAACAGTGCATAATTTTGGAATTGGAACTGTCGTGGCTTTATGAAGATGTTATGAAATAATTTGTGTGTAATTTGTGAATGGTATATTTTACCTGTGGTCAAAATTCAGCCGCTTTGATGGCGGTTGGATTTCATTATGCTTGAAATCCAATTGGCGCAATTTTGACAAGTAACCATTTGCTGAGGGATACTGTTGTCTCCAGGTCCCCCAGCTCTGATATGGTTTGTTTAATATTTGTGAATGCTATGCTGCCAAAAGCTTACAAGTGGTAAGATCGGCGCATAGGGCATGAACATGCGAGTGGCATGTTAACTGTGAATGTAATTTGTAATAAAAAGCCATGACAGTTCCGCCAATATGAGTTGTATTATTCTTCCAAATTCTACAAGGTACATTTATGAAGTGTCTTGCATAAGAAAAATTCAAAAGCTGAGGTTATCAACCTTTAATAAAGTGTTCTTATTAGTGTTAGGAATTTCGAAATAATATACATTGTATGTAATGCCTGACCAACAAATAAATTACAGTTGTAACGAAAATAAGAGGTTATACAAGTTGTATATACAAGATATTCCATAAATCTGATTAAAATCAGATCCTTTGATCTGCTCACATAGATCGCTACACAAGATCTAAAGAAACCCCATTCAGGGTCATCTCCCGGTGAAAATCCTGTTCATCTTTTTTGTAATGTTTGCAAGTCGTTGGCATGTCTTTAGTAAGGTAAGGTCTTCTTTGTTTGACCCAAACTTCTTTTAACATGTATCTGGGTATGAATCAGGACTTTTTAAGGGAAATGTGTAGAAACTACATTTTATCTCAGAAACTTATCTCATGCTAAATAATACATGTACACGCAGATCTTTTCTTAAATATTTTAAATACGCACATCTGGTACAAATATCTGTCAGTAACTCTTGAATGTGTTCAAAAGAGTCTCTTAAACGCTATGTATTTTCTATGCTAATGCATACATCTAAGGATGCACTCTACCAGGCTTCCTTCGGATCTGACCTACATTTTTGGATCCGTGACCAAGTTGGTTTTTGGAGTAGATTTCATTTTCAAGTATATATAAGCCCTATATTAACCAAACTTGCATGGATGATACATCAAAGGATGTACGCTATTAGACTTGTTCCGGATGCTGGATCTTACCTACATCTTCCGGATGAGTTACCAGGTTAAAGGTTTTGGAGCAGGTCCATTACCAAGAAACTATTAGGCCTATTTAAACCAAACTTGCATGGATTGTGCATAAAGGGATGAACACTCTCAATCATGCTTCAGATACTGGATTTGTTTGACTTACATTTTCTGGATGCGTGACTAGTTTAAAGTTCTTACATAAGACCATTCCCAAGTAACTGCAACCTATATCAGACCAAAATTGCATAAATGGTTGCATCTTGGGATGCACACTACTATATTATTAGTTTAGTGTGGGGCTTTGCCTTACTGAAAAACAACATTCATGGAGGGGAACTCTGTAATTTCTGATTACTTATGATTTTAAAAGGGCTAGATTTTTTCAATGTTTTAATGTATTTACACCAGTTTAAATCTTGAGAAAAAGAATGAAATAAAATAGAGCAATCTTTAACTTTCCCAAATATCGACTCCCATTTCCAAGAATTTACTACAATTTTTTGCTTAAAAATTCAGCAAAGTACATAAAATGTATTCTAACAAATCGCATTCCGCTTTCTCGGAAAACTAAAATAAGATATAACTATAGCACATATTTTGACAACTAGCGCAGTTGTCTTCTTGTTTATATCGTCATGTTCGACACGCTGACAAACTGTATACACCTTGAAGTCAAAACAAAATGACATACTGTCTGCATTTTAATAAAGCTAACATTTTTAATTTGTTTTTGTTCTGATGATTTAATTTAGTTTTCTTTACAAATATCTTATATATTACTTGTGTGAATGCCGAATTAATAAAAAGTACTATAGAATAAGAATAGGAATTTGGACAAGGTAACTCGCTGTGTTAATAAAAAATACGAGTTTTGTTAAGAAATGTACTGTACGAAATGTTTTCATCAAAAGAACCTAGTCTACTGTATGTGCAACTCTACATTGAGAATATCCAAAGTATTTTTGGTCATTCCGCATGTGGAAAGGTTATAATAAGCAATAAAAACTGATCAAATAAGCCAGTCTTGGGTCAGAAATGTGTTAATTTGAGTGGTTTTAGCTGATACAAAAAATCAAAGATTTCCAGAAGTGTATGAAAGTTTACACATCCTTTCGTTGGCCGAAGATTTTGAATTTTAATCTGAAGGAGAGTGGTAGGGAAAAATATTATAAAACAAGATATGTTTTTGACAGAATGATGCCCCCGTATTGCAATTCATCGCAAAGGTTAAAATTTCTCAAATGTAAGTCAAACTCCAAGGTCAAGCGATTAAGAATGTTGGTGCCTAAAGAAAGGTATCATCACAAAGAATACTAAGTACACCTGTGAAACATGGAAGCCCAAGCACCAACCGTTCAAAAGTTATGGCCAACAATAAAGTTTTTCAATAGTTGGTCAAATTCCAAGGTCAAAGAATCAAAATTCAAGGTCAAAGGGTCAAAATTGTTGGTACGCAAGGGAAGGTAGACACATACTGAAGTATCCAACCATTCTCAAGTTATGGCCAACGTTAAAGTTTGGTAAAATTTAATCTGCAAAAGTGGGTCAAGGTTGGTACCCAAAGAAAGGTATTGGCACAATAAATGCACATGCGAAATATGAAAGCTATAGTTAAAACCAATCAAAAATTATGGGTAATGTTAAAGTTTTTGCGGACAATTAAACAAATTATCCGTACAACATTAGCAATAATTTTGAAAGTATATCAGCCACCGCCGTCCTCTAACATATTTTCCACTGCAGCCATGCTGTCTTGGGCCTTGAGCAATTTTAAACCTTATTATTAAACATCATCCTTGAGCTTTCTCAACTAGCGAAGCACTCGCTCGGTCGTGTGTTCGAATCACGGCCGCGACTGACCTAAGTCGATAAAAAAAAATAGATGGCAAATGTTCCTTCGCCAAGCGCTCGGCACTTTGAAGTGAAAATTGTGGGTCTTTCGGACGAGACCTTGAAAACCGAGGCCCCGTGTCACGGTGGGCATTGGCACGATAAAGATCCCTCACTGCCCAATGGCCCTGAGTGCCGAGTAAAGATCTAAATTTGAAGCCCTTCACCGGTATATGGTGACGCCCCTATATGAGTGAAATGAAATATATGGAGATAACGAACAGTATTCAAGCTCAAAAGTCCATTAAACAATACAAAATAGGAGCAGAGCAAACAGGGACCTCTAAACATCAGAGGTGGGATCAGGTGCCATGGAGGAGTGAGCATCATTCTCGAACGACGTTCAATCAATCAATCATCTGAACTAGCGACTAAGTGTGCCTAATGAATACACAATATTTCCATGAATGTGACATTTTTCATTTAAAATCACTTTTTCAGGTACATCAAGAATGCCGTTTATATACAAATGGTTATCAAAAAACCTCATGGTCTGAGGGGATAAAATACGTACTATGTAGGCTTTGAACACATTGAAAATTCAAATATAAACTTGATGTTGTATAGTTTATTCATTTGACAGAAAAGATGATATATAAATGTGTAAAAAAAAAATAATAATAAAGAAATTAAAAAAATAAAAAAAAAATTGACGTGCCTGTCGCCGTTTTAACGTCACCTGAGCCACTCAGGTGACCTATTACTATCCGTTTTTTTGTGTGTCGTCGTGCGTTAACATTTGAACTTTTCAACTTCTCTGGAATCGTTTAACCAATTTTGTCTAGGGATGTCAACGAATTGTCGACTATTCGATACAGTCGAATGGACCAACGATCAATTAAATAACGAAACGACATTCGAATAAAGAAGTGGAATATACGAGTGATAACAAGATGGAATTCTCATCTCAAAATTGAGAAACCGTCTTTCCTCGCGCACAGTTGATAAGATAATTTTCCTCAACAAAAACTGTTGACTTTCCATGTACATATTTAAAGTACAATAATTATAAATGCTTCACTACCGCGAGCATTAATTGTCAATTACTGCCTGTGTTGTTTCTGTAATAAATTGGGATTTGTTTGTAAAATTATTTATTGGACTTGTTGCACCACTATACTGGGCTTTGTTTGTAAAATTGTTAATTGGACTTGATTTCATACCATGTACCCATTATATTTTGTTATTGAAAGAATGTTCAAACGCAGGAAACACACCGAATCCGTGACATGTATTGACACTTGGATAAATATGAAAACAATTCGCTTACATTGAAAGGACGTTTTGATTGCCGGGGCGATCAATACATTGTAATTGAACAAACAGTATTTAACTGTTGAACAATATCACATCCACCTGACGTGTGGATAGTGTGTTTAACCCCCCATCCACCCCAATTTATTTTGATAAGCTTTAATTAAAAAAGATGTCGTACTAGCAATGTTTTAACGCGCTTACTAAAATAAAAAAAAACTTACTTTGCAGACCGATTTATGAATATGATTGACAGGGAAATCATACATTTTTAGGTAAAATTAACGATTCTAAATTTATTTCTTATAAACATGCTATCCACACGTTAGGTGCTTGTGAACATCTGGCTGTAAAACAGGCATTTTATGTTACCATTAGATAAAAAGTAAAAGGGTTTTTGAGTTATAAATACTGCACGTGAAGTTTGAAATAAAATTTGCTTTTCAGAAAATGTTCCGAATATTCGAATTTCCTTCGAATGATGCAATCGACTAAGGGAAATAAATATTTTGGCATGTAGCATCTATTGGTGAAGGGGAACTGTCTCTGTCCCGCCCCCTCCTGGTCCTGAGGGGTGGGGCTAAAACCACTAAAATTAATGCAATCTTTAAAAATCTTTTTCACTCCTGGACATCAGGCCGTCATACTGTTGGCATGATTGTAATAAGCATTGAGCCCTCTACCAAAACAGTAAAATTC